TGAAGACACCCAATGTGACAAACTTGCATTGGATACCACACAATCATTTTACAAGGATGAACATGGGGGTGCTGGGTGTTCCCCTGAGGTACAGAGCATTGCACCCATATAATCAGGCTCTGATAACATCCTCCTTGCTGCAAACTGGGCTTTGTAACGGGCCTCTGCATGTCTTCTGATAGCTGCAGTTAATTTTTCCTGTAGTTGTCTTTTGGGTTCTGGAATTTTTTCTGTGTCTTCTGTGTTTATCTGGTGCCCAAATACTTCAATCTATTAAAGCAAAAAAGGAGACACAATATTGTAGCAATATTTAATACTTTACATCTTACTTGAAGCTTTTGAGTTGTAGAAATAGTAAAACAGACTTTTAAAAAATTTGATTGGAAACCTTTCAAAAAGGATTGTTTTACTACTCTGTAACAATCTCAAAATAAACTAAGACTTTGATAGCAGTAGGGTACTTTTTTAATGTTTTATTTGACAACATTTGCGTGGACTCTTACTGCGTATTAATGACCTACTTGCATTAATACGGATTGTTTCCCTCTTAAGCTACCATCTCTCCCAGCCAATTGTTCATTTCCTAATGCAAGGTTGTTTAAATATATATCAAATATATATTTAAATTTAAAAACATTACCTTACACTTATTTTTCAGGAGGGGCATTAGTATTGAAACATGGTGGACTTTTTCCTGAACTTGGTGGCTTATTTTTGGGCCACATGCCCTTTTTCTTGGGTTTCCTTCCCCATCATTTATGATGTTTCAGAGCTCTGTGTTGTCATAACCTTACATCAGTAAAGATGGTTGGGTGAGTCTCCTTCCAGTGCCATTCTTAAATTGTCCACCATTTTCAGTAGAACAGTCCACTCTTTAACCGTTTCAAGAGCTGAATGCACTGCCTATGTTGTGCTTCCAGCCTGGAGAGAGAGATATAAGCAGGTAATCTAATTCTAGTCCACCTGCAAATATGTGCCCCGTTAAATCAGTTTGAAATCACACCTTTATATAAACTGCTGCAAATTTGTAGTCCAGGCCTGACAACATGAGATGAGGATTAAATAGCTGCATCATTTACACTGCTGCAGTAGTCACTGATAGAAGGTAAGCAGTACTTTCCCCTTCAAATGTACACTGCATAACCATAGGGTTATATTAAGGGGAGAGAGGCTAAGGGTTAGGAAGCATATGGAATACCTCTGCATTTTTGCAGTCTTGGTTATAGTTCCGAAGATGTTCTTTGGTAGCTGCATTCAAAGAGTCCTGCTCGGCTGCATTGCTCCCATTAGCAACTGAAAAACAACATAAATTCCTTTTGGACACTGGAGTGTTGTTTTAATCAAGATAAGCTATTAATACCCACTTTAATGCTAGGAGTAAATCATTGGAGCCTGTTCTCTCAGTGCAGGCCTGCAACTCCCTTTGGGGTTAACTAGACACGTGGGCTTGGAGAATCTCCCCTGAGGGTCTATTTTCTTAAGCAGAAACAATTACATTTTAACCCACAGGATGTCATCATTGCTCCACCAAAGTGCTGATTTAAAAAAACAAACCAAAAAACATCTTCATTTTTACATTTTCACTGACGTTTGATTATCATTGCAAGTTTTGTTCAGCAGGCTACAAATATAGAGCCAGAAAAGATACATCAAGTGAAAGGATATTTTCACCTAGAGAAGAATGCAGTTACCCTCTTAACCTTACAAATGTGCGGTTCCTTCAGAACAGGCTCATTGGTGGGGAAGTAGAACTAGATAGAAGTGCTGTTTTGGATAATTGGGACCTAGAAAGACTTTGAGGCTTTGTCTATCAAGATATGCGCTGCCCAGCATCAGAAGCTTGTAGCATCTTGAAAACAGTTGGGAAAATGTCCTCTACTTTATAAATCCTTTCCTTGGATAGCCATGCAGAAGAGAGCAAATAATTCTCCAAGTAATTTTCTATCAAAATACTTCAGTCAACTGCTAATTCTTCTTAGCATGTAGCTAGATTAGATAGCCATAGTAAAAGAAGTCCAAATTAAGAGAGGATTGGGCATGGGAGCTATATAGATGTAGAAAACTTCCAATATTGCAATGTAATGGTAAAATTTGATGGAATTTTATAATTTCAATTAATACCATGAGAGGTTAGAGTCCTGGTTATTAATCCAGTCCTGACAGAGGGTATATTTAGTAATATCTGAATTTTAGATATAACATTCACTGGTACTTTTAAAGGGATATCCCTATATTTATGATATTTATGTAAATCAGCGTTTTTTTTTTCAGTGCAGTGACCATAACAGGATTTGTCCAGAGCCATTATGTACCTGACACCCCCGGTATAGAATTATTTTTTTGTCTAACATGTCCATTGGGTTGCACAAGTAGAGCAAGGCTATACCAATCACTGTTTTGGAGATGCTTCTGAACCATTTACCCATGGTATGGATGGATAGAGGCAATATACCTAAACTTCAGTTATTGGTAAGTCACTTTTCTGTACTGCAAACAGCATATGCAATATATACTGTAAAGTATTAATCACAACAGAAATCTATATTTGAAACTATTGGTAAAAAGAGAAATATGATCAGTCAACAGATATTTCAGGGACTTTATTTGATTTATATCTTTTCAGAAAACCATATTACTTACTTGTGTTTGCAGCCTGCATTAGCTGTTCAAGTAGATCCAGAGTTATGGTTTTTGCTGTTTTGCCATGAATTTCCCTGGTCCTGTTTGTACCATCTGTAACTAAAGCAAAGGCTACAAATGTAGACTCACCACCTTTCAGGCCAGGAATAAATTTCTTAATCTCTTTAGAGATGAATAACATACGGGTTACGAGGCTCAACCCTGATGAGGAAAGGTTTCCATGAAACTCCCTGATGGACAGTTATGGAATGATTTTCCACAATTGTTTTTTCTAATCCCAGGCTGTTACTTTCTGGCTTATGCTCCAAAACATGAAGGTTTATATCTTTGTATATATTTTTATTTGTCCCTCTCTCTTGTGCTTCTTCCAAAAAAAATAGCTCCAGCTTAATGTTTCCAGGCTAGTGAAATAGTGCACTATACTGTACCTAAAGCAGCTGCCACTGGTGGTGAGTGAGTTAAGGAGCTATCCTGGTTATATTTGGTAACTCTAAACCAGCAGTTCTCAAACAGTGGATCGGGACCCCAAAGTGGGTGGCAACCCCATCTGAACGGGGTTGGCAGGCCTGGCTTGGACTTGCTGGGGCCCAGGGGTGAAGTCCGAGCCCCTCTACCCAGGGACAAAGCCAAAGCCCAAGGGCTTCAGACCTGGGCAGCAGGGCTCAGGTTGCAGGCCCCCTGTCTGGAGCTGAAGCCCTCGAGTTTCAGCTTTGGCCCCCTGCCCAGAGCAGTGGAGCTTGGGCAGGCTCAGGCTTCGGTCCCCCCTCCTGGGGTCGTGAAGTAATTTCTGTTGTCAAAAGGGGGTCACGGTGCAATTAAGTTTGAGAACCCCTGCTCTACACTATATAAGTCCCTCCAAGGAAAAATGCCACAAAAGGAATAGGGAAGTCCAGCCTAAGGTAGCTGTGGATGTTCTAATTATTCATATATAATGCCTGATACTTTAAAAAAGAACCCAACCCTGATAAGCTCTTGGCTTCAGTAATATGTTGTAGCAATGAGTTCCACAGGTTAATTATGCAGTATTGTTAGCCCTTCCTGGGAAGACAAACACCTACCATAGTTAACTCCTCTGGGATACTGAAGAGCAAGTTTGACTGATTTCAAAGGCAGCCCCAGTCCTTCAAAGCTGGAAGGAATGTGGAGCATCACTGATTATACAAATAAGAGCTAATCAGATTTTTCCCCAAGGTACTCTCCATGTCCCCATCAAAGCCTTTATTATATAGGTGTGTACGTGATAAGAGCCATGTAACTTTCACTAACCTGTAGGAGGTGGTGGTTGTACTGGGGAAGGTTGAGGAGGCAACATCTGAGATGGAGTCAGGGACTGCAGCGAAGGTGCAGGTGCTATGAGGCTATAAGAGAGGAGAGACACATTCTCATATATTCCACAGGCACACTCCACTGTGACACATGCTGTATTTATTTTCCTGAAGTCCCTTTGCTGCTGTTTTCTATCACACCTTTTTGCTGATACGGAGGCAATGTGTTTTCTGTTTCAACGGTGGGTGACAACCTGCCTTTCATTGTCAGACCAGCCCCTCCTTTTCACTCCCTGTCCTTTCTTTGTGCTACATACTTTTGCATAAAGAGGGACAATAACAGAGGTGAATGAATTCCAGATCAGGCTAGAAGAGAGATGATACCTGAGTTCTTCCTTTTGCTTGAGGCATATCATCACAAATAACATAAAAAGGATCCTATATAAGCAATACAGATTTTCAGTTTTTATTTTGAAGTGAATTTGATGCTAATGAAACACGTTGGCTTGACAGTCCTGAAAACTGATGTCTTCTCTTATCCATAGAATGGGTACAGCCTGGGGAGCAGCAGTGCAATCTTTCCATGCACTCCCAATTAGTGTACCATAACCCTCAGCTGGAAGAAACCATATGGGAGCAGTGGATAGCTCAGTCTCCATGCCCTTTGTGAATCACACTCTTAATCCTTAACCTCTCTGTTTAAAGATGCCAGTTCGTGCCACTTACGTTTAGAGCCCTGTTCGGATCCACGGATATAAATTGGTATCCATGGAACCTCAGGGCTATCCCAGGAACCGCAGCAGCGAAATGAGCATAATGTTTGGCCACCACTCCCAGGAGCTAGCGCCCCATGCTGGCAGCTCCTCTGGCGCAGCTGTACCGCCCCCAGCCTCACCCACTGGGCCGGGCACCAGGCTCACCGGCAGCTGTCCCTGGTCATGCTCTTGTGTTCAAGCGGCTCGCACGCCACCAGACAGGAGACGCAGACAGCTGCGTGGAAGGGACGGGGGAACGGCTGGGGGTGGTACAGGCACACTGCGGGAGCTCCCGGCACGGGGTGCTGGCTCCTGGGAGCAGCAGCCCTACATTCTGCTCCTTTCGCTGCTGCGGTTCCCGGGAGAGCTCTGCGGTTCCGCGGATACCAATTTATATCCATCGATATCTGCATCCATGGATATAAATTTGTATCTGCGCAGGGCTCTACTTATGTGGTTGGTGTTTATGAGGAGGACTCCTTTCCACCAGGTCATTTAACAGGGGCTACAAAACATGTATCAGGTACAATAAGTACTTAGATAATAATGATTTTGAGCTGCTTTCATCTTCGTCTGTATTCATAGATTCCAAATCCAGAAGGGAGCACTGTGAGTGTCTAACCTCCTGTATAACATAGGCCAGAGAACTGCTCCACAATCATTCCTAGGGCATAGCTTCTAGAAAAACATCCAATCTAGATTTAAAAAGCAATGATGGAGAATCTACCACAGCCCCTGGTAAATTGTTCCAATAGATGATTACCCTCACTGTTAAAAATGTATGCCTCATTTCCAGTCTTAACTTGTCTATCATCAACTTCCAGCCAGTGGTTTGTGTCACTGTCCTTATTTTACAGATGGAGAAACTGAGGCCCAGCAAGGTGAAGTGACTTGTCCTAAGTCACTCAGCAGACGGGTGGCAGAGCCAAGAATAGAACACAAGTCTCCTGAGTCTAGTTCTCCATCCACTGGGCCATACTGTCTGAGTGGAACAAATGACTGAAAGTGGCTGTATATCATTACCAATCCCCTGAGCCATTCAGTCCTCCAGTTCTATGGAAATTTTGCCCCATGGTTCTGGAGAATGAATCCTCTTCCCACTTTTGGTCATATGACAGAAATATTTGGCTGGAACTGTTAAAATATTTGTTACATTGTAGTTTGCTGTATTTCATATGGGATTTTTTTTAAGGCATTAATCACTCTGCTGCATTATAAAACAACAGTGGAAAGTCTTGGGGATGTTATCTTGACTAAGATTATTTCCCCCCCTCCTCCCCCAAGTGTTCTCTTTGGTAGCATATTGCACAGCATCTTACCTTCCCTCTGAGTATGCATCAATAGAAAGCTACAAGAGAAACAGAAAGCAACATTTCTAAGTCAAGATTTTTTTAAACAGCTTTGAGATTAGCTTTCTGCCTTCACTATGTCTCCCCCTGAAAACCCATGTCAGAGTTGTGGCAGGCCAGCTTTTGAATATCAGACAAGACAGAGTGGGCCTGGGGGAGTTTCACTCCTTCCACAAAGGTACCTCTCCCATTCTACTGAACAAGGGTTCTCTGAGCTAGCTCTGGAAGGTTGGGCTGTTTGGCAGCATTGTTGACAGAACATTAATTTGCATCAATGGTAGTACAAGGCAGAATCAATGCAGCACCAGATAAGTACGTTTTCTCTATAGGTAACTAATAAATCTGGAAGATTGAAAGGAGTTAAATTAGGTTATTTATAATAAATTGCTCTTCTATACTGCCCTTCATTCAGATATCTTAGAACACATATAAATATTAAACTTCATAACCCCAGTGGGATATGCTGTAGTAGTTACTATTCCTACTTCAGAGATGTGTAAACTAAGGCATAGAAGGGATCTGTGACTTGCAAAAAGACATATATTGAGACAGGATTAGAATCCAGGAGTATTGAGCCCTTAGCCCTCTGCTCCAGCTACTATAAAAGACTAATTTAATTCAAATATAGTTTCTCCATTGACTGGAATCCCTCAAGACCAAGACATAAGACAAAGATGCTAATCAGAAAAACCCAAACTAGCAAACTTTATCACAAGTTTCTAAGGATTATAAACTGGTTGCTGTGGAAATGATTATAATGTCACAAATGGAATTAAAAAAATAAGATGGAGAATAACAAAAGCTTAATTAGTAAAGACCTTGTTTTCATGTATAAGTGCCTGATGATAATGAGGGAAGAAAAATAAATTATTTAAGCATCAACATTTCTAAACAGAATGTTCTTAAGAGTTGGCTATGAGCCCTCATGGGCTCTTTATGACCTGTAGTACTTAGCAGTGTCCATTTGGGCTCATTTTAATAAATTCAGCTCTTTTATTACCCTCTTCTCCATGAGTCTTTTGATTTCAGCTTGCAGCCCATTGATCTGTGCCTCTGCCTTCCTCTGTATTTCATAGCGCAATTGTTTCTCCTGGAAGATGTAATTTGAGATGGCAAAAGTGAGTAAATAGTCTAGACATCAAAAGCCAGTTGTGTCTTTTGGCATCTAGTTTACCAGCAGTGACCAGGAAGGCAAAGGTCAGTGAAAATTCTGTTGCAACACTACAAGAGAACAAGCACAGAAAACATTTCTATTAGGGCTGTCAAGCAATTAAAAAAAATAATCTCAATTAATTGCACTGTTCAACAATAATAGAATACCATTTATTTAAATATTTTTGGATGTTTTCTACATTTTCAAATATATTGATGTCAGTTACAACACAGAATACAAAGTGTACAGTGCTCACTTTATATTTTTATTATAAATATTTTCACTGTAAAAAAAACAAAAGAAATTGTATTTTTCAATTCACCTAATACATGTACTGTAGTGCAATCTCTTTATCATGAAAGTTGAACTTACAAATGTAGAATTATGTACAAAAAAATCCACATTCAAAAATAAAACAATGTAAAACTTTAGAGCTTGCAAGTCCACTCAGTCCTGCTTCTTGTTCAGCCAATCGCTAATATAAACAAGTTTGTTTACATTTGCAGGAGATAATGCTGCCTGCTTCTTGTTTACAAAAGCTCCATGAAAGTGAGAACAGGCATTCTCATGGCACTGTTGTAGCTGGCATCACAAGATATTTATGTGCCAGATGCACTAAAGATTCATGTCCCTTCCTGCTTCAACCACCATTCCAGGGCACATGTGCATGCTGATGACAGGTTCTGCTCGATAACCATCCAAAGTAGTGCGGACCGGCACATGTTCATTTTCATTGTCTGAGTCAGATGCCACCAGCAGAGGGTTGGTTTTCTTTTTTGGTGGTTTGGGTTCTGTAGTTTCCGCATCTAAGTGTTGCTCTTTTAAGACTTCTGAAAGCATGCTCCACACCTCGTCCTCAGGTTTTGGAAGGCACTTCAGATTCTTAAACCTTGGGTCAAGTGCTGTAGCTATCTTTAGAAATCTCACATTGGTACCTTCTTTGCGTTTTGTCACATCTGCAGTGAAAGTGTTCTTAAAATGAACAACATGTGCTGGGTCATCATCCAGGACTACTATAACGTGAAATGTATGGCAGAATGCAGGGGAAACAGAGCAGGGGACATAAAGTTCTCCCCCCAAGGACTTCAGTCACAAATTTAATTAACACATTTTTTTAATGGGCGTCATAAGCCTGGAAGCATGTCTTCTGGAATGGTGGCTGAAGCATGAAGGGGCATACGAATATTTAGCATATCTGGCGCGTAAATACCTTGCTACAAAAATGCCATGCAAATGCCTGTTCTCACTTTCTGATGACATTGTAAATAAGAAGAGGGCAGCATTATCTCCTGTAAATGTAAACAAACTTGTTTGTCTTAGCGATTGGCTGAACAAGAGGTAGGACTGAGTGGATTTTTAGGCTCTGAAGTTTTACATTGTTTTGTTTTTGAGTGCAGTTACGTAACAAAAAAAATATACATTTGCAAGTTGCACTTTCATGACAAAGAGATTGCACTACAGCACTTGTATGAGGTGAATTGAAAAATACTATTACTTTTGTTTATCATTTTTACAGTGCAAATATTTCTAATAAAAATAATATACACTTTGATTTCAATTACAACACACAATGCAATATATGTGAAAATGTAGAAAAACATCCAACATATTTAATACATTTCAATTGGTATTCTATTGTTTAACAGTGCGATTAAAACTACAATTAATTTTTTTAATCGTGATTAATTTTTTTGAGTTAATCGCGTGAGTTAACTGTGATTAATTGACAGCCCTAATTTCTATAATGATGCTGGGGTTTGTATCCTATGGGAATTAAAATTATGTTGGCCAGATTTCTGGGGTTCTTGTTAAGAATTCCATATTAGGACAGTGGGGGACAAGGGAGCTGATGTGCTATTGGAGGTGCCACCTTTAGACAAAAATACATAAAAATTAACTTGTCATTAAATATCTGATGGCATCTTTTGCAAGAGTATTTATTGAGGGTTTGTTTTTTTTTTTTAATTATCAGGGTTGGAAGGGGCCTCAGGAGGTCATCTAGTCCAACCCCCCTGCTCAAAGCAGGACTAATCCCCAGACAGATTTTTGCCTCAGATCCCTAAATGGCCCCCTCCAGGATTGAACTCACAACCCTGGGTTTAGCAAGCTAGTGCTCATACTACTGAGCTCTTCCTTCCCTAGAGTAGAAGAGTTAACCGTGATATCCAGGCCATGTTTCAACTCAAATAATTGCATGTTGCCTACAGTAACTAAGTTCCTTCTGCAGCTTCAGTTGGAGAAGCTTTTCCTCTCTTCCTAAGGACCTTGTTGTGTGGTGCTACTGCTAGAGATTAACTGCTGTATCCCACCACAGAGAGACTGTTTCTGTGAAGAGGAAAGTGACCCTGATATATTGCAGACTAAAGCCTTTTAGGATCCTTCAGAATAAAGTTCTGTAGAAATGTAAGGGTTTATGGCTGAAAGCATGTTATTTCCATACAGTTGCTGCTACAGGGGGTGTGAGGAGGTAATCACAACTCCAGTTTGGCTCATATCCTGTATCAGCAATGCAGTTCTTCTTCCTCACCGTTTCTCCAAATAGTACCTGTGATAGTTGTTCTTCCAGATAGACCCTTTGTGCTTCAAAGGTTCCTTTAGTCTCTTCCAGAAGCTGTAGTAGTCTGCCCTCTTGTTGCCTATAATTTCATTAAATAGTTAATTTAAGATGGCGAGACTATTTTTTAAAAAGTGTAGATCATTTAACATACTCAGGAGGAGTTTCTGAACTATGCATCACAGGAGGGTTTTCAGACACTGTTTAAGATATCCCCCCCTGCATGCCACTATGTATTATATGAAAAATGAGTGCTTGGAGAAGGGGTACAGCCACCTCCATGCTGCTAGTTAGCAGTAAAATAGATTCTTTGACGGGAATCAGACGAGGTGGCATGTGATGGGGAGCCAAAGGGCTAAGAGGAGATAGCCATAAAGGAGAGCAGTGTGATGGGGAAGTGTAATTCAGTCCTATATCTGGGAAGACTAGGATTGTTTTGGGTTCGTTTTTTGTCTTTTTACCTCTTTTGTTCCTCTTCTCTAAACCTTTGCAACCTTTCTTCCTGTTTCAGTCTCTCCATGTGCTGCCTTTGAAGCATCTCACGCTCCGCTCTGCAAACCAGAACATACTGATTTTTTGTTTTAAATAAGTATGTGTGGGTTTCCACCTCTACTCCTACATCCAAGACAGAGCTCCAAGTATACCTTTTCCTTCCCCCTACAGTTTTATTCCTTTCAGTGCCTCCGAGTCTTATATCTGGCTTCAAGGGTAACCCTGCACATGGCGTTGAAGCTGGTGTTCTTGCTTAGATTGTCTTTTCTTGGTCTGCTCCTCAAGAAGGCAAGCACTGCTGGCTAGAGGCCTGGGGAGCCAGGAATATGCTCTTGGGCTTGATCTTATTGGCACTTGCATTAAGTAACTGCACACCACTGAGCTAATGCCAGTGAATACATTAGTTAGAACCTTTTCTCCTGAAAGGAAAGAAGTTATCACCTCATATCCTAGCGCAGTAGGGATATACACCACTAACTGCAAAATGTTTAGGAGTTAACAATGCAACCACCCGCTATGAGTCAGATGCCTCAAGCTTAGATCCTGATACAATCACAACTGGATGTGTGTGTGCATGTGAGGGAGTTGTGTATGTAAATGTGGTCCACCGATCAGCACTTCTAAGAGCAAGGAGAAGAATCTTAGAATTGAATTGACCATATACACCCAGTGCAACTGCTGCTTTGCTTTCCCATGTCCCTTTAGGACACTACAGTGCATAGTGCTACTTAAAAGAAGCCACTGATCAGCAGAGCAAGCGTGGACTCTAGATGAAAAGCACAGAATGAATGTTATTTAAACTCTCCATTTCTCCCTTTTCTAGTTGCAAGTGAATTTCCTTCCCCAAAATGTGCCTGGGAAGGGTCTCCCGAATTCTACATTGTTTTGGTTCCTGGAACATATAAGATGCACCAGGCTTGCAGGGAGTTCCCATAAATGCAGAAGATGAAGTAAAACTGCATTTAATTCTGATTAAAGAGACAAGATTGGGGAGGTAATATATTTTATTGGACTAACTTCTTCAGGTCTTGTTTGAGCTCTGTGTATATCAAAAGCTTGTCTCTCTCTAATGGAAGTTGGTCCAATAAAAGATATTACTCACCTTGTCTCTGTAATATCCAGGACCAACACAGCTACAACACTTTAATTCTGATTGTTCTGCTAGTGTTAGGTTTAAATATAGTAGTGTGTAAATATCAGGACTTCAGCTCAGTCATCTGCTCAGCAGAGAGCATTAATCTGACAAAACCACTTAGTGGGTGATGATTTGCTCATTAGCATACTTACAGCATTGATAATAAAGTGGAGTATGGGAGGCTGCCAGTGGATGGTGCTAAAGTTTTTTGTTAATGAATGTATTTAGGGAAGGACATTCTAGGAGATTGGGGGAAGAGGGAGAGGAAGAGAAACTTGTAAAGTCAGTGGTTGAGACAGGCTCTCTAACTCCATCCACCCCCAGGGTGGGTAGGAAATCACAGGCCTGTATTGCAGGGCCTCCAATGCGCATTATCCCCTAGGCTCCTTAGAGGTAAGGCTGGTAAATCTGTTTCAGTTCCAGATATAAAGTGGGAATCTTTGTATATTTTTTGCTGTTCGTGGAAGTTGGATAATAATGAAGCTAGAAGGACCAGTTTCACTGTTTACAATCAATTTCATTCTCTGGCTCTCACACACACTTAGCCCAGTGTTGCTGGGTTTGTGACCCAAACACCTTAAGAAAAGATTTAAATTCCCCTTTCCCTTCAACTCTCTTCTTTAAAATTTACCAACAGAAAAACTGTGAAACTACTCCCAGGCTTATGCAATGAGCTCTCTGTAGGCCTCTGCCTGCATGAAGCTCATTGCAAGGTTTGAGTCAAAATCTAATTCTAACTGCCCCCCCCCTCTAATAAATTTTACAGTGGATCCCTTAAAGTTAGGCACAAAATGCTCAGGGCACTGGGAGGTCCCACATTGAATCCAGCAGATGGAGAGTTAATTTCTCTGCTCGAGTCTCTTATGGCTCATAGCTGCACAGGTGAAAGCTGTTGGTCTAATAAGGTGGGGCTCCTGAGGGGAGAAATCGGGAGCCCAATGCAGCAGAATGCCATAAATGTGGCTCACAGGCAGAAGTAGGAGACCTATGGTTAGCAGCAAACAGACTAAGCCCGGCCTCGCCAAGGAGGCGGAACTGGGCACTAAGCTTTAGAGGATTTTTTTTTGGAGGCAGCATATCAAGGACTTTTGATAGTTGTTGGCTTAAAATCATTTGATTAAAACCTGTTTACCTCCAACTCCTGCCAATAAACACTTGGGAGGAAAACCCCATGTCTTGGAGTACGCTGACAGACTCTGCTGGTTTACAGCTCTCTAACCCTTTTTAATAGGCACCCCGCATCTCCTCTATCCCAGCCCTGAAGGTAGAGCAAGGCAAGGATGCAGCTGCTCTGCACCTGCGCTCATGTATAGTATAGTGCCCCCTGCAAAAATGATTTCTTCTGTAATGTAGAAATGTATATTTGTTCCCCTTTGAAAACTGCTCTTGGTGCCTTCCGCTCCATGCCCTTGCTGGGCTGTGTAATTGATAGCACCCCCAGGTCTGTACTGCTTCACGGGGTAGGTATGGTACATTCAGGGCCATTTGAGATATTAAAGGCAGCAGTCTTGACCAATCTTGGACTGAACTAGCCATTTTAATAGTCACAGCCCTGGCAGTAATGTTGAGAAATAGATGAGTACTGTATAGTTACATCTACTATCGTCTCTAAATATGACTCAAAGTCCTGGTAAGAAAGATCTTGCCCTGTGATATGCAGGTGACAATAATGCCCAGTAGAGTTACCTTGCTTGTCTTCTGTCCTGAGCTCTGGTTCTTGGAGGTACTGGTACTCTGCACAAGTAGCTCCAGGGAGGCAAAGCTGTGGAAAGGAAAATAAAAACAGTGAGAACATGGCAATTGTCAGCTTTCTGAAGAGCACACAGAGATAGCCAGACAACAGCATCAGTTCCCACAGACATGTTAGACATGAATCTAGATCTGAGTTGATAGAAGTTCCACGCAGAGTACATAGTGCTTAATCTGCCCATGTATATATTCAATAGCCTGATTATAGAATTTTCCAGAAAAATTCCAAATATTTGTGGCTGAAAGATACTTTTAGAAAATATTGTGAAATCTGCTAACAAATCACTGGTAATGTACGTCCTCATCTATCAAACATCAGTTATTGGGGCTTCTTGTTCAGGTTGTTTTAAGAGCATTTATTTACCAACTTCCTTCTCTACTGGCAGGATAGCATTCCCGTGGAACAGGAAGTCAGGGGTTTTTAAGGGACAGTAGTGCTGGTTATATTTTCTGTGTTCTGCATTTTTACATTTGTAAGAACTGTGCCTAAGTGCAGAGGCAGTGGCCATTTTCTTCTCAGAGTTGCTGCAGCGTGTACAGAGGAGATGCATGAATTGTGCTCTTCCTCGTGGAGACTTTACTTTTTCTTTCTTGCTGTTTTTCCTGTAATCTGGAATAAGACTGAGAGCATATGGTTCCTTTTTTGGATATAGGAGAAACATAGTACTTGTCTATAAACCAAGATCTATCATGTCTTGTTACATCATGGTAGTATTCTGTCTTATAACTAGTTCTGCATTTGCCTGGTATGAGCCTATTACTGTATTGTCTTATGGATCTGATAGGAGCGGTAGCACAGTCCACTAACAAGGTTAAAACATAATTTGGGTCCATCTGCACAGGTGAGACCAGACTATGCTATAACAACTCCTTAATTGTGGTGGTTTTGCTAGTTGTGACGCATGGCTAGAAAGGGTTAAACATCCTGCAAAATAAATAACCCTCAAAAGACGTGGGGAGATTTTTGTGTATTTACATATGTATGAATAGGGTCCACAATGTTATCAATAGTCCCTGTCTGTGCTGTATTCTGATAATTCAGAGGTCAAAAGAACATCCTATCATTTAAATTAATTGTAAACACGGGCTATCTCGGTGTTCATCTCTTTTTTAAATGTAGTGTGAATGGTGGAGGAACAAGCAAATGGCCTTTTGATAATTCGTATAGCTAGGTACCGGTGTTGGACCTCCTTCAAAGTCATCCTAATGACCTTTTGTTCTCTGAGGAACTCCAACTTGTCAAAAGTCATGAAATTGTATAAAAGATCCTTGGGTCCTGATTCTGTCATCTCAGATCTGCTTAGGCTTCATCGGGGGAAGTTTGAGTCACAAGACTGAGGTCCCAGTTATGCTGGGACACCCTGAATGTGACATTTGGACTATAAATTATGAACTATTTCTGAAAGAACTCTTTGCAACTACAAAGCTCATCATTTCTGCTATGAATCTGAACCGCAATGAATTGAACTCATATCTGTATGTATACTGATCTTTTAACCATACTCTCTCTCTTTTGTTTTTGAATAAATTTTAGTTTAGTTAATAAGAATTCGCTGTAGCGTGTATTTGGGTAAGATCTGAAACATTCAATAACCTGGGAGGTGATGTGTCCAATCCTTTGGGATTGGTAGAACCTTTCCTTTAATATGATGAAATAAGATTTACAGAAATTTTCATCATATTTGATCTGAGTACCTGGATGGAGGCCTGAGGCTGGATCACTTTAAAGGAACTGTGTGGTTTGGACTTCTGAGTGTAACCAGTAAGGTAATAAAGAAGCTGTTTTATGCTGGCTTGGTGAATCTAAGTATTGGAATATCCACCAGCTTCATGGGCATACTGAATCTAGATGGATATGTTGTTCTTGTTACACCTGTTCCAGGTGCAAGTCTTGTGCAGTCCCAGGTGCAGGATGTGATCTCACCTTGTGTGGGATCATGGACTGGGAAGGGGTCACTGTCATCTCCGTGTAGCTGGCTGGACAGTTCTCTGAAGAAGTGTTTTCTGATCACGTCTTGAAATTCTTGCACAGACAAATTTGGCCCTTGAGTCCTTAGAGCTGCTTCCATCTGGCCTGGCTAAACCAAATAATAAGCAGTGATTTATGGCCCAGTAAAATGAATTGCAGTTGATGTGAGCTTTTGTAGCATCTCCTCCCTGCCCTTCCTTTATATCTCTGCACCCTCTTCTGTGTCAGGATGCTGTTGAACTTATTTTTTTAATCTTTCTTTTTGTCACTGACTCACCTCCTAGCCTCAGTGTTAAACACAGTCTTTGTCTCTTTAGCTCTACATTTTATTTACCCCCAATTATGATTTCTAAAATAAAAGTTATCATGGACTTGAATGAAACTGCATGTTTTGTGAGAAAGGAAATGTGACACTTACCGACTGACATGTCTTCAGATAGTCCCGAAGCAATAAGATGAAGGCTGTGCTGAATGCAGGGAGGCAGTTATATGATGGCTGATCAAGTCCAATGATTACCTGGTCCCAGACATAAAGCAGTGTATCCATGGTCAGGTAGCCTGTGAAAAGTAGCAGAGTGACCCTTTTACTACAGGCAGGGATATTTGTATGCATGAGATGCACCGAGTTTGGAAGGTCTGCTGGTCATTACAGGAATGAGCTGTACAATCACTCCTCTGCCAGGAGACTATGGATAACTCAGACTCTCGTTTTACGTCTCTGTTTGCTACTGGTTGCTTGTTGTTCCCCAGAATGAGTAGGAAAGGGGAGAGTGATAGCTGAGCAAATGTTAATTTCTAAATTGCTTCATTTGGGTGGATTTGTGGGCAGATTGACTCTTTTTTCCTTTCCAGAGATGATCTGAGGTTTGATTGTCTCAGCTAGATTTATCCATGCAAGGTTGGCTAAAAATAGCAATGGAGATGCAATAGCATGGACGTCAGCACGGGCTAGCATTGTGAGCATACCTAGGGTCCTCCGTGTGCTTATACAGCTGGAGTTGAAGCCCATGCTAATGTGTTTACACAGCTGTTTTTAGCCATGCTAGTGTGGGTAAAGTCAATCTGAGTATGTCTACCTGTGCTGTAATTACACCATGGACTGCTGTGTAGCTATACCCTAAGGACCAAATTAATGACTTCCGTTTTACTAATATCAGTGATACATTTGGCCCTATCTCTCTGTCTTCCCTCCCATTGGAGGGAATATCTCGTACCACTGTTCTTCATATACAACATTCTTTGTTCTCTTACAAGCTAGTCCTTATGTGGCAAAGCCCGATTCATTTTAGGATTGGAAGAAGTTGGCTTGTGACTCATTTGAAAACCTCAGAAAGGGCCTTACCCACAAAGACGGTACTGATGGCTGGTTGGAGCATGTGCTGCAGTGCCCTCCGCAGGGGTTCCTGAGGCTTCTCTGCTAGGACACAATGAAAGAGTTCAAGGTAAGTAGATTCTGCATAACGGTTGGAATTTATATGAAGTTTCAGTCAAGCTCCGAGACTAATGTTGTCTCATGAGCTGGTGACTGTATTTACATTTACACTTTATATAGGGCCAGATCCAATGGAGCTCTACCGATGGACACCAGCTGAGGCTCTGATTAATAGAACAGCTTTTCGCCGAGATAATGAACAGCGTATCAATCCCAAAGTGAAGGAAGATCAGGCTTTTTGTTTCACCTCCTAGACAGTGGGCAATTATTACCACATAATACTTCTGTTATTTTATTCACTACACAGCAAAATTACCTGTCTGACTGTAAATGCCTCGAATGATGTTGGCCAGGTCCCTGTCCTTTTGCTCTAACATTGAGGTTGCTTCCTCCAATATACTGGCACTGGCGGGATCCTAGGACAAGAAATAACAGCATCTGTGTGAGAAATTAAAATGCATTGAGAGGAAGGGACACTATGTCCTATTGACGTCTTTCCTTTATACAGCTCACAGAAAAGGTGCTGTACAGAACTAAGGAAAATGCCTGATGCTCCATTAGCCTCTCTAACCCAAGCTGTTTTATTCTAGGGAAACAATTTCTAAGGCAAACGAATGGCACAGTGTGTGGCAACTCCTTGTCTATTAAGGTCATCGAGAGAAACTGAAGAGGGTGGGTGCGCAGCTTTCCCCTGATTCTACGTAGGGCACAACCAGTCCAGATTTCATCATATGTTTGTAGGGGACTATGCGTGTGGTATAGGAGCCTGAGCTGTGAGGAGCAGCCAAGGGTAGGAGATCCATGGAGGAGGATGGAGAGGAATGATTTGGCTCTGATCCCAGTCACATGGACTCAATGAAGCCTCTGTAGACAGCTGCATCCTCTTTCTCCAGAGGTGGATAGGCCTGAAAAGGGGAGAGGCATTTGACTCTACCTTGGTGGAGGAGAGCCTCATTAACTGAGGTCGAAGGTTCATGAACGTGATAAACTCTTCAGCCAGAACAGCAGAAATGGAGTCCAAAGATAGGCTGGGGGCAGCAGCGTCTAGGACGACTTGCAGCAGAGGCACCAGTAAAAAATAGTCTGTGTCGGGCAGATTCATGGCTGTGCCTTGAAGCTTATGGTAATAAGAGAGAATGTTCCTCAGGGCTCGTGCTGCAACTGAAATAAAAACCCCAACTTTTTCGGAGTCCTTTTTTTCCTGGTATTGTATACAATCTTTTATTAGTTGCAAAAAGTAAAGGTCACGGCTTCACAATCACAAGATGACCACAAATGACTTCACCTTTGTTATTTTTCAGGTGCTGGAAAGTGGGTTCGGTGGACAACAGAGCCTGAGACCTCAGGAAAATCTCCCGGTCCTTTGGGGATTTAGCTTTATTCATTGCTACTTGGGACAGATACTCCATACGTGCTGGAAAGAAGAACAAGAAGGGAGGCCATGAAGGAGCCACAGGATTCAGTTTTTGCGTGATCTTTAATGTGTTTCCATTTTTCACCAGATTTCTTATTAACACACTACTAGATCTCTCTGTGCAATTGAACCCACTTACATTCATGATAATCTTTGTTTAAACTTTGTACTGATTTATATCCTGGGCCGTTGATTTGAGTGGAGCTGCACAGGATGCAAATTATCATAGAAGCTGACTCCATGTGTGTAATGACTGCGCTACCCTGCGAGATCACTTCTGAAAATAATTGGAGCAAACCGATCCATTCCAAAGGCAAGAAAGGTGCTCTTCAGAAGTATTTTATGAGCCCCAGGAATAAATAAGGGAGGGAGATCGCCCTAACCCTCTCTTCAATTTGGTGGCAGAATTTTAGCAAGGGCCTCCCAGAAGCCCCTTCCAGTGTGTCATTTAAAGGAACAACAAAATAAAACCACTGGATTTTTATGACTAGCCATGTGGAGCTGTTTACACTTGTCATTGTAAAATGTAAATGGGCAGGGATAGCTCAGTGGCTTGAGCATTGGTCTGCTAAACCCAGGGTTGTGAGTTCAATCCTTGAGGGGGCCATTTAGGGATTTGGGGCAAAATCAGTACTTGGTCCTGCTAATGAAGGCAGGCGGCTGGATTCTGTGACCTCTCGGAGTCCCTTCCAGTTCTATGAGATAGGTATATCTCCATTTATTTATTTGTTCAGACTATGAACAGCAGTCTCCAGGTACCCTGTCTTTTGTGTTGTGGATAGATATTAATCCCTATATGTCGTACCACACGTGAATGGCGTAGATAGGATAGATTGATTTGTGAACGTGCCCAGAAGTTAGGATGGTCAAATATTTTATAACAAAAGAAGGAACCATTGAAATAAATAAATACCTTTGGTATTAGACAGGTACAGCCTCCAGGTGAGCCTTCTCAAGTCTGCAGGGAGGGGCTGGTTGAAAAAAGCTTGTAATTTCCCCTTCAGAGCTGGCCTTTCCTCCAGCAAATGCATCTGAAAAATAATGCACAATTGATAGCAGCTAAGTTCTAAATTAAAGCCTTTCAGTATAAGAACAAAGTGTCCCCTCTATATGATATGGACCCCTGCTATAGTCATGGAATCCAGTGAAACCACTCAGAGGGAGTTTTCAGACATGAGGTATATAGAAGCAGGCCTAGTATCTGTTGCAGGTGGAAGGCCTAGTGGGAAGATGAGTTTCCTTCTCTGTAAAATCACTTAGAATAAGGAGGATAATTAAATCTAGGGTTTCAGATCGCCTGGTGTCAGCTATATTTTATAGCTAAAACAAAGGACAAGGAATCAGACATCTGGGTTTTATTCCCAGCTCTGCTACAGATTTGCTGTACTGCCTTGGGCAAGTCACTTAGCCATTTATAACCACTGAACTATGTACAGTTTTCAAAATCAAGAGTGTTACAGCAGGAGGAAAGTGAACTCATTTCAAGCATAAGAATAAGGACTGCCGATGGGAAATCAGCCTGATTCAGATTTTTCCATCCTGCCTGCTGTCTGTCTGGTTTGCCCATTCCTGCCTAAGTTAGTTGTAGACAGCAGCTGTCAGGCTGGTGTGCAATTTGATTAATGACATGCAGGCACTAGGCAGGACTGTTGGTTTATAGGTCTGTGCATTGCTCCATCTTCTTAAGATTTGGCAGGGAAAGGATGAGTGGATTTATTCTGGTTCATTTTGTGCTGTGGAGTGGGTCATGGGGCATTGATAGTTTAGAACTGGCTAGGTTGCTGGCAGCACCTCTGCTGTGGATAGATAAGAGATAATCAGAGTTTCAGTGAACAGGAAGCACTGATTTACCTCATAGTCCCTTCAGATGGACTTGTTTGGGAGGTGACCTGTGCACCTAGGTGAGTGAGGGTGGAGAGAAGGTCCAAGATCAGAATGGAACTTTGCCAAGTGCTAAGGAAAGGACAGGGTGGCACATACCAGCGTTTGGAGTTGGGAGAGAAGGTATTGGTCTTTCCTGAGCAGAATTATGGAGATTCTAAAGTGTAAGTCAAGAGGGACTGAACTGGGACCTCTGCAGTGATGACGTTGAACACATCTTAGATTGCAAATAGAAATAGAGAGCCCTGAGCCACTTGGGTCCCAGAGCGGCAGTTTTGGTCTACAACCTTGAGGACAAAATCACAAGGTGGATTCTTGGCAAATTTCATGCCATTGGAGCAATATAGATGAAGGACTACAAAGGAAACTTGTTTGTCTTTAGACTGTGAAACGATCAGTTTGGAACAGTTGCAGGTCACATTAGTCCTTTATTTTGAATTTTCATGCAAATCAAATAACCCTCTTAGAAAAAGATAAGTAAATGTACCACTCCATTCTTGATGTGACTCAGAACCAGGGCTGACTTGTTTTTCAGACGATCACCATCTTGCAGTTCATGAGCAACTTGAATATACAGCTGCTCCTCTAGGCAAGTGCTAACTTGAGACATCAGGGGATTATACGGGTCTCCTGAAACAGTCAGAAGGTTTCTTCAGTGTTTATCAGGATAATGGTAAGACAACCAGAAAATAAATAGGGCTGTGTAACTCAGTGATTTAGCTATGAGTGTATGGCTAACATTTAACTATTGTAACAAAATACAGTCACCAGATATTGTTGTAGCAGGGCTCAAGCCTTTTGGCATTTTCTCTTGCAGTGCAGCATTTGTGTTACACAGCAAGTAAAATACTAGCAGAAGCCGTCGTGCCAACGCAGTAGAAGTGTGCATCTTGCCACGATTACTACACAGCTAAACTCCATGTATTCAGATACAACAGTGATAGGCATGGTATAAATGCCCATACAGGTACTAGGAAAGAAGCCAAAGGTTAATGGGCACCTTATTGATCTGCACAACGAAATAAAGTACTTTGATGAAAGGAAAAAAATGAAACAACCAGATGGTAACCTAGAAGTTGAAGGAAGAGGGAGACTGGATATTCTTCTCTTCCCAACCTGTTACCTCCTTGGATGGCCTTGGCAGCTCGCTGTAGGACGAAAGCCTTCTCTGCCGCAGAGAGGTCGGTGAAGAAATGGACGTGGCTCTCCGTCATCTGCTGCTGGGCAGCATCACATAACCGCGCCGTGAAGTCTCGCCATTCCTGCCCGGCATAGAGGGGATTCTGTTAGGCCAGCCTCCCTTGGGCCTAGATGTTCATCTCAAATGTGTGAAGACAGCCACGCTCTCCATGGGTCAGGAAGAGGGATACAGAGGTGCATGTGTGCCTTGGGGGGTGCCTCCACAAACTCCCTTCTGGCAGGCATTCCTTCAAGCCTTACAATAATCCCCCTGAGATTTACAGTATTCCTGTCAACCGCCATCTCTGGCAGGGTGTTGTCACTGTAACAGTGTGTACAAGACCTAGAAAGTGGCAGTGCAGAGGCTTTATCCTTGGGCCTCCAGGGGACTCAAGTGTTGTAGATGATTTCGTTACAGACAGGCACAGCAGGGTTACAGATAGCCCAGATGCTGTAGGCACAGCACATGGGGTCACAGAGGTCATGCAGGTTAGAGAGCCCTCCATCAGGACAGCTGCTGCCTTCTTAGTAAGTACAGCTCCAAAATGTCCCTCTGTGACTCCGACCTTTGCAGTAGTCACATCACTGGGTATTTTTACAGGCAATTGTCTTGCTTGTTTCTCTAGCAGGGGGGCTTTCTGGCTTTTGTGCTGGTTGCTCTATGTTTCTGAAGCTTGCTCACATCAAATTGCCTCTGGCTTTAGCAGAAACCTATAACTGACTGTTGCAATTCAGACCCAATGGCGCAAGACTATTGTATACAGTCCGTTATTTTAGCCCAAGGTACAGGAGGCTCAGCCCCACATCCCCCAAACCCCTTGATATTAACTGCAAGACAATCCCTCCTCCCAGGGGCATGGACTCAGGAAATGTAAATTCCAGCATTTGGTCACAGCTCTCTGGCCCAAGATCAAGAAAGTCCAAACTTTAAACCCCTTCTTGGCCCCTGAGGACCTGTCCTGACTTTCTGTGCCTCATTCTACCATACCTGTGAGTTCTCAATGTGATTTCGGGCTTTCTGTAGCCATGTCAGAGTTCCTGAGCCACCTGCCATTGCTTCGGGCTGTCTCAGCAGAGGAGTCCCGCCGTTGCTAGGGCCTGTTGCTACAGCAGACTTTACCAAGGCTGTCTCTAGTCTGGCTGTAGCACTAGCCACAAGGAAAATCTATTCACCCCCCCGCCCATCCCCTCTTCCTCCTCCCTCCAGAAACCACAACCTTCTAGTTATCAGTTGACTGACATCAGTTAAGAGCTGGTTGATTTCACCCTTTGCTTTACAGCATAAATTAAATTAATTTGATCTCTTAACCAGTTTTAATTTTATTTATTCTCCACTGAGTGTTATGATGTTAAAAGGATCCTGTTAAAGGGCTCTTTTTTGTGTGAACTTGCTTTGGTTTATATGAATAACCACTTTGAAACGTGAAACTGAAATCTCCTGTTCTTCACTGGAGCAATAAGCAATGACCGGGAGTATTTGCATTAGTCAGCTACTGATGCACCTTTAGGTTCTCTGTGTAGGGTGAGGTCAAAGGACAGCTGTCCGAGACTTGCATCAGTTGCCCATTACTGCACACCCTGGTGTGGTTTATGCTACCAGATCCATTAATATTAAAAATCATTTAAAAACGAAAACTCTGTAAATAATCAATGTATGAGTGTGATGTGGTCTGTGCAACGTATCCTTCCGCTGTGCAGATGGTTCTGGTTTGAATTATAGTTTTGTTTGAGAAAAAAGCCTTCCTCTGTCATCCAGAGGCTTGGCTGCCCTTTCAGTAGCAGCTTTTGGTACAACAGCCACTTTCAACTAATTTCCTTTCGTGAAATGAAATACTGAACAGTCTGATTTTTCCCCCAAATAAAAATGGCAGCAGGACCACCACTTGCTTCTGAGAGGGCCGCTTGGCACTTTGGAGAATGTGAGCAGTTTAATGGCTCCTTTTTTCCTCCCTTCAGGCTGCTTCTATTATCTTTGCCTCCCGTTAACTCTTTCTCCCCAACAATGACAGGCATAAGAATTTTGCTTTTCAGGGGCAAGGTCCCAGCTACGCATTACCGGGAGCTGGTGCATAGTATGACACCATCTGGAGGGCCCACAGGCCAATCAGAATGCAGCTTGAGACAGTCATTTCCCAATAGTGATTCTCAAGAGCTGGCAAGTTCAGGGCATATTGCCTTTGGGGGTGAAGCAGCCACATAACATGCTTGCTGCATACTTCAGGGCACCACGCTGCATCTCTGCCCCCATTCAGTGGGTGACTCCCCCGCCCCTCTAACTGCAAATAATTAATAGAGATATTGGGTTATACAGCAGCCTGGTGGTGATGGGCCTCTTCTGCTGCTCATTCTGGACTATACAAGACAAACTGAAATGTGCAGGAAGCCCAGACCGGCTCCTGTTAACTATTTAAAATAGTTCTAGTTGATACTGTGGCTCTGGAATATAACAGGAATCAGTGCGCACCACTGAATCTGAAAACCCTTCTCCTTGTCCCTCTTAAGCCATGGTAGATGTGAGGTTTATCTTCTATCATAACTTCCTTAATTATTTATGTGATGTTGTTTCAAGCTGCAAAGTACCATATACAAGGCAGAAGAAATGGTCCTGCCTGGCACATGCACTTTGGTTCTGCTCTCTCAGAGCACTGAGTACAGTATAAATAAATAAAAATAATTCTTTCATGAGCTTCCTTTTCCCACAATCTTTAGAGTCTGGGAAAGCAGAGACAAGTAATGTGGTGTAACTGCCAGCTGGTCACATGGAAGCATTCAGACTCACAAAGTGAGGGTGGGAGATATTCATGTGGTGTCTTGGTCATAACTATGACCTTGTGAAATGATTCCCCTGGGGGCAGAGGGACAGTGGCATGAAATCTTTATAATCTGTTAAATTCCTTTAACAACTGTTCATGTAAAAGAACTAAAAGTTGTGCTCTAGTTCAAACAGGAATTAATTCCAGGAAGTTCTATGGCTCGTGATACAGGAGGTCGGACTAGATGATCACAATGATCCCTTTTGGCTTTATAATCTATCAGTCTGTTGTTTACATCCCCACCCTTTTTAATGGCTTAATGGAAAACTGTCCCCTCCATAGACTCAAGTTCAAGTGTGAAATTGTTCACTAGTGAAATAAGTTTGTTGGCCAGAAATCAGTTCCCCTCAGACAAGTCTTGTGACTGGAGCCAAAGCACTAGGAGTCAGGACTCCTGGGTTCTATTCTTGGCTCTGACACTGACTTGTTGTGGTGTTTAGATGCTGCATATTATTATTAGAACTGGGAGCACTGGCTGTTGGGAATCTGAAAGGACAGGAAACAGGAAGGAGAGGGGAGGAGTTGAGGAGGCTGGGAGAGTTACAGAGTGTGCAGCTACAGCTTGGTAAAGAGATTTCCACTGTAAATAAAGTTCTGTTGAAGTTTGTTAATACCTTGCCTGGTTGATACAACATTTTGGTGATGAGGGTGGGATAACGACAGTCAATTGCAGCAGTATCAAAGGGTCCTACAATGTCAATCGCCACTTTTTCCCATGCAGATTCAGGAAGAGGAACAGGCTGTAATGGAGGGGTACATGTCACTGCTGTCTTATCATGCATTTGGCAAGTGACACAGGATTTTATGAGTGCTTCAGTTTGAGAGTCCATCCCTGGCCACCAATACAGATCCCGTAGTCGTTGTTTGGTTCTGACAATTCCTTGATGAGTATTGTGTGCCAGGTGTATGAGTTTTGATTGTAATCCTTCTGGCACAAGTAGCCGGTGTGTACCTCGTAGCACACAGCCAT